TTATGCTGTACAAACTGTATTTTCTATTGCCCTACACCAACCCTACCCCTAACAGGAAACGTTCTGCATTTTTACTTTCTCAAAAAAACTAATTCTGTATGATTTATTAGCTTTTGTACCCATGGGGACCTCAATTTAAGTCCCCACCGTGACACGAGTCCCCATGAGTCTGTGTGTATTCAGGTTTAAGTCCCCACCAGGATATATAAACCTGCACACACACACACACACACACACACACACACACACACACACACACACAGCAACAGGCTCACACACACAATCTATAGGGAAACAAATAAAGGCAGGTGAAGTCTTAAATGGGTGTCATGGATTAAACCCAGAGAAGAGCTTCATTTTACAGTCCTCTATAAATCTGTCCTCACTCTCATTCAGGCAAACCCCCTCCTAAAAATATCTATTACCTCTTCCTCTCAGTTCAGCCTCTGTCTCACACTCCCTAGATTTCTTTATTAGTGGTGCGTACTAAGACAAACATCACATTATTATCATACTTAGGGTTAGGGATTTAAACAAACCTTAGAACAAATTATGTGGCCTGTTGAGGAGAGCTGTGTTTACTTTTCTACTTGACTGGACAATTTTTGCAGCAATAAAACAGGTCAAACCTCCCATAGATGTACAATGAAGGAGGGACTGAGCCATGTTTTTGTCTTGGGCAAAACTTCTGCACAAGCAAACACCACTATTGCTTTAGAAAGCATAAAAATGTAGTTGTTATCTCATGTTGCTATCTATTTTTACATTTTGTACAATGTTTCCATTCCATCTATTACATTTACGAGAGAGACTGGTGTTTGACGGGATCTTACTCTTGTTCTGGCTGGCAGGGCAGCTCTTCTCAGGGGTTCAAAGTAGGCAGAGTAAACCGCAGCCCAACTACAGCTAACTAATTACAGATCAGAGCTCCCTCACCCTGTGGAAAACTGGACCAGAGAGAGAAGGAATAACAGAAAGAGAGACATCTGACCTCGAGAAGCGGTCCTGAATGGGTTTCATGGTTATCAGATTGGGGTGATTATAAAGGCCAGGAGCCAAGAGCTTCAGTTACAGGAAGACGTCTTGAGCTTTAGCTGGAATTAAGGCATGGACACCTGACAGATCCTGGTGTCTAACAATAAAACACACACTCACAGTGTTAAGGGGGATGTGTTTTCCCCTACTTTACCCCCTGAATTTTACTTTAGAAAGCTGAAGTCGTCAGTGTCACATGATTTTTCATTAACCATTCTGATATGTTATTTGCTGCTCAAGAAACAGTACTGCTTAATATTTTTGCGGCAGCGTTTATTTGAAATCTTTGGTAACATTATAAATGTCTTTAATGTCACTTTTGATTAATTTAATGCATCCTTGCTGAATAAAAGTATAAATTTTTTAAATCTTACTGACACCAAACCTTTGAATGGTAGTGTAAATAGGTAGAAAGATAGATACTAAAACCCTCCCACATTTTTATACTGTTTAACAGTTATGAATAATTTTTTCCCCCCTTCTAAGATCACCAAAAGTGATCTAAGAAAACACATACTATGATATTAAGAAGTGTCTTGAGAAGACAATGAAAAAGCTATTTCTGTTTGGGGCAACAGCACACATCTTTGTCACAAAAAGCTTAAATTCCTCATTCTTGTGTTGTTTATCCTGCAGTTTCACTCAGTATGGGTGATGTTGCTCATGTGGCAAGAAGGAAAATCCAGGAGAAGAGAGTATGAAGATACACAAATCAACCCCCTTATAAGTACTGGCGCATTGTAAAAACTTATTTTTATTTTAAAATTATTTTGTAAATAAAACAAAGATTGTTTTATAGAGTATGTTTTACAAGAAAATACTATTTTACTTGACGGAAGATAAAAGCAAGGTGAACAAATATCACCATTTTAGTTTGAAAGGAAGACCAGAGCCTTATCTAGAGACTAGAGGTCAGCTCTTTTGACTCAGGTCAGTAGCAAAAAATTCAGCAAGGGTGCATTAAATGTATTAATATTGACAGTATATACATTTATAATGTGACATTAGACTTTTATTTCAAATAAATGCTGTTCTTTTGAACTTTCTGTTTGTCAAAAAAATCCTGAAAAAAATACCAGTTTCAACAAAAAATATTAAGCAGCAGAACTGTTTTCAACAATAATACAAATAAATGTTTCTTGAGCACAAAATCATCAGAATGATTTCTGAAGGATCATGTGACATTGGATACTGGAGTAATGGTGCAGAATACTCTGAAAAAGCTTTGCATCACAGGAATAATTTACATTTTAAAATATATATAAATCTAGAAGACTAAATGCAGTAATATTTCACAGTATTACTGTTTTTACTGTAGTTTTGATCAAATAAATGCAGAACATAAGAATATCTAAACTCTCTAACTAAATTTGCCCATTCTTTATAGTAATAACTTGGACAAAAACCATGTGAAGAAAGACATCTAAATGTATATATGTCTCAGATAGAGGATGGTTTGGGGTGTTTTTGCTGGTCTTTCGGTGTGGAGGTGGGAAGGGTCACACTGTCAGTGCCAAACCCAAACTGGTTTCTCAACTCACCCGGTCAAATTTTCTCTTTTTATGCCTCAAACCTAAAAAAAACAACAGTTTGCGTCACTGAAACACTTTCACACCTAAATACATTCAACCCCAAAAGACCTGCAAAGAGGACGGCATGCACACTAATACTGACCCTAAAACAAGTCTTTGTGTTAATCAAGCTAAGTACACACACCCACTCAAAACACAAAGTAAACGTTCACACTCTCC